AGAACCTTGGGGGCCTCCTGTTTGCTTTTCCTTGCCTATCTGTCATTCTTGGCTCAGCTCAGGCGTGAGCCCAATAAATGAGTCCTTAGATGCCGTGGCTCGGTTTCGTTCTCTCTCACGTGTCTACCAGCCTGCTGCACCTGAACTCTGCTGTAGGTGCCCTAGAGAAACAACTCCTGATTTTGTTTGTATGGCTTTTAGAAGGAAGTGTGCCAGGCATCTCTGGGCAGCCCTCTTTCCTATTGTCCCCAGCGTTACTGTTTCTGAAAGTCACATTGCCTCTCTTGACCAGTAGCAGCTCCTTCTCTCTGCCTCCTGTCCTTGTGGTATAATAACATCAATTCTTTAATATAAAAATGTCAGTGGAGCCAGGGGGATGGTTCAGCTGGTGGAGGTGCTCAACACGCAGAACACAGGATTTGAGTTCAATCCCCGGGTTTCACAGAAGAAAATCAGCTTCCAGAAATTGTCACCTGACCTCCACACATGTCACCATGTCGTGTGTGCGCCTCCCCATCCACACACACTTACTACTAGTAGTAAATCAAATTTGAAGGAAGTATCCATGAAGGTGTTTGCTTCCTCGAGTGTCACTGCTGTAAACTTCTTCAGAGGACAAGGCCAGAAAACAGTTTTTCTAAAATCACCTAGAAATAAGAATAATGAATTCATTTCACACTCATGTATACATTAAAATCTAAGAATAATTTTCCTGAATTTCTTTGATTAGATATTTATGTCTTTTGTCTTAAAAGACATTTTTTTTTTTTTTTTTTTTGGTTTTTCGAGACAGGGTTTCTCTGTGTAGCTTTGCGCCTTTCCTGGATCTCGCTCTGTAGACCAGGCTGGCCTCGAACTCACAGAGATCCGCCTGCCTCTGCCTCCCGAGTGCTGAGATTAAAGGCGTGCACCACCACCGCCCGGCTTAAAAGACATTCTTAATGGTATTATATTACTCAGGGTTCTCCAGAGGAACAGAACTGATAGAATGAATCTTTTAAAAAGGGATTTATTATAGTGGGCTATAGGTTGTGGTCTGGCTAGTCCAATGGCTGTCTCCTGAGGGAAAGCCCAAGAGTCCGGTAGTTGTTCAGTCCATGAGGCTGAAGGTCTCAGCTGGTCTTTGGTCTGTGTTAGAGTCCCAAAGAAGTAGGTTCTAATACAAGCAAAGGATGCCTCAGCAGCAAGATAGATGAACTTGCCAGTGAGAGTGAGGGCAAGCAGGCCAAAAGCAAAAGCTTCCTTCTTCCACAACCTTTTTATTGGCTGACACCAGAAGATTTGGCCCAGATTGCTGGTGGTTCTTCCCACCTCGAAAGATCTGAATTTAGGGTGGGTCGTCTCACCTCAAACAATCCAATCAAGGAAAAATCCTCACAAGTGTGTCCAGCTGCTTGGGTTTTAGCTAATTCCATGTGTAGTCAAGTTGACAAGATTAGCCATCACAGGTATTCATAGAATTATTTATTTTATTCTTCAGTAGACCTGTAATAGTTTCTAGAGAGCCGTGCCAGATGGCTAACTGCTAATATTCCTTTGTCATTCTCTTTAAATCTTTACTAATTCCCTGAGAAAGTGTGTGTGTGTGTGTGTGTGTGTGTGTGTGTGTGTGTGTGTGTGTGTGTGTGTAGTAAATTTATTCAAGTGATATTTTTTCATCCCAAGTATGCCTCTTTTATTATGGGTTTCTTGTTGGTGCTAGGAATGGAACCCATGACCTTGCACATGTTGGGAAAATATTCTACCACTGAACTAAGTCTTTAGTCATTTAAGCATGGCTTGGTTATCTCAGTTGTTATCATTATTTAGGGGTTGGACATTTTGTCTGTTTGCTCTGTTGATAAGGGGTGGTACGGTGGCTCAGAGGGTAAAAGCACTTGCCGTGTGTGTTTGAATTAAATCTCTGGAACCTACTTGAAGGTGGAAGCAGAGAACCAACTTCCACACCTGTGTTAGGGCGGGCACACACACACACACACACACACACACACACACACACACAATCACAATCACAATGTCCTGGCCTTTTATTTGTTCATTTATTTTTGCTTCTTTTTTTCCCCTCAATTTGACACAAGCTGGAGTTATTTGAGAAGAGGAACATCAGTTGAGAAAAATGCCTCCATCAGATCATCTGTAGGCAAGACTGTGGAGCATTTTTTTCTCCATTGATAACTGACACAGGAGGGCCCAGCTCACTGTGGGTGGTGCCACCTCTGGGCAGGTGGTCCTGGGTTACAGAAGAAAGGAGGCTGAGCAAGCCATGGGGAGCAAGCCAGTAAGCAGCACCCCTCCATGACTTCTGCTTCAGTTCCTGTACCAGGTTCCTTCCCTGCTCGAGTTCCTTCACTGACTTGACTCGGTGATGAAACGTGACTGAGAATTGTAAGCTAAAACAAACCCTTTCCTCCCCAAGCTGCTTTAGGTCATGGTGTTTTGTCACAGCAACAGAAACCTGAACTAAGACACCATCCCTGCTTCAGTTCCGTGGCTTTCTTACTTGGGGAAGTATAGAGAAAACTCTGGAAAGGGTAGCATCTCAGAGGGTGTCCATCAGATAGAAGAAACGGGCTGTCCCGTGTGGGTGGAGGATGCTGGGAGCCCGGGGCGGCATTTCGGTGATGCCATCCCACACTCTTTCTTCTCATGTCTCCAGTGTCCACCCCTCCCACCATCTCCACATCCCCCTTGCAGTACCGCAGCCCGCCCGGCCTGGGCATCACCTGCTGTTGCAGAGCACGGCGGGGCCGTCATCCACGCTTCCTTTATCTTGTGTGCAGTCGTCTGCAGCCACTAAACACCCAGTGTCATGTGGCCAGTGGACTGGGCAGACATCAGCACGGGTACCAGGCCACATTATTTGGCCCACGTGCCTTCAACTACCCTGCACTGTTCAGGGCATGACAGGGTCACAGACCCTCTACAGGACCGTCAGTGTGGCTTCCCTCCTCTTCCCTTCCATGGGCTGACTGGAATGGGGTCAATTACTCAGAAACCTCTGGAAGGCAGGCCAAATATTGATCTGTATTTATGTTGCCTTGTCAATAGACAGTAGGTGTCTCTTGAACCACTTCCGCAGAGGTCTCATTGACCTTCCTGGGTGAATCTGAGGGCATCTCTCTTCCCACTCCTGCCTTCCCACCTCTCACTGACCTCTGTTCAGAACTCTCCTGGGGCCCCATCCAGCGACAGGTTCCTTAAGGGAAAGGAGACAGATGTGGCGGGCATCTAGCAGGGGCTCCACCAGACTCAGTGTTCTCATGGATTTTGGCAACTCCATAGCAGCTCATGATTGTGTGAGTCTGGTCTCGTAAATGTCATCCTCGAGTCCATCTGCTGGGGTTTAAATATGCCCTACTGACACCTCCCTGGTCTTCTTTTGGGCTCTGGGCTCCTGGTGTGATACACCCTACTGATATCCTGGGACTGATCACTCCAACCCTGGTATCTCCTGGGTCTGTTCTTACGGGTTGTCAATGCCAGGGCCTAAGGCTGTGTTCTGTGTGTGTCTTGGCTGGTGACCACATGTTCCTGGGGACATATCCAGTACAGCCTCCAGGCTGTCTTATGTTCCTTGCTCCAAAATTCCTCTGGTGTTATCCTCCAAGGAACTTTAGAGAAAACCTTTGTCTGTCTTCCTTCCTTCCTCCTTTTCTCTCTCTCTCTCTCTCTCTCTCTCTCTCTCTCTCTCTCTCTCTCTCTCTCTTCCTCCCTCCCTCCTTCCCTCCCTTCCTTCCTTCCTTCCTTTCTTCCTTTCTTTCTTTCCTTTCTTTCTTTGTTCTTTTGTTTTAATTTGAGACAAGATCTCACTCTAATCCACTATGTAGCCCAGGCTATCTTCAAACTCATGGCAGTCCTCTTGTCTCAGCCTCTTAAATGCTTAAGGAAAACTTTTAATGAAGGTTTCTCAGATCTCCATGACACTCCCCAGACTTGTGACCCTGTGATCTTGGTTCATGTTCAAGAACTTTCCATGAGAATAGGATACCTAGTGGTAGGAAGAGGGCCTGGCACTGACTCTGGAAACCTCAGGGGTAAAGCCCTCTGCCAGTCAGAAGAGTCGTCCACCAGGGTCCTCTTGAAGAAAGAAGGACATGGTCTTCATATCCAAGCTGGTGGAACAGGGCTAGGGGGATATCCCCAGAGTGCCCCTAGCCTGGCGTCAGATATTAGAGTGACTTCAGAATTCAGTGGGAGGGGGAAGAGGCAGTCCTGACACATAGGAAAGGCCCTGGCAGGTCAACATGAGCCCTCAAGGCCATTTCAGTTGCATCTGGGATGTCTACAAAGCTCATGTGTTGAGGCTGGTTCCCTAGAGTGGCATATGAGATGGCGGGATCTTTGAGAAACATGGCCTCTTGGGAGTCCCTAAGTCATTGGGAAGCATCCTTGAAGGAGGTGATAAGACCTTATTATCACTCCTTTCCTCTTTCATGCCAGTAACAAAGCCAGTGGCTTCGCTCTGCTGTGCCTACCTTGCAATGATGCGCTACCCCATCTGGGGTCCTAAACAGTAGATCTGCAAGACCATGCACTGAAATGCTCCAAACTGAAACTAAACAGTCCTCCCTCTATAAATTGGTTGTCTGGGATACTTTGTCACAACAACAGAAAGCAGACACAGGGGCATGTATGAGGGTAGGGTGCCTGCACTCAAGTTCTGAAGAAGTGCCTGTTCATGGCCAGCCGAGTTGTTTCTCTGAAGGAAGGAGCAGAGCAAGGGCCCCTGTAGCTGTGACAGATCTCCGGGTGCTGCTCTGAACATCCCGCTATGTTACGCCATCTTTGTGTGGTAGAGTCTGGAATGAGTTAGCACTGTTTTCCTGGTGCTTTGTCTGACTGTTGAGTCCTCAGCACAGGTTCCATGAGCCTGCCTCCTCATCTCCGGCTCAGCACCCGCTCTGCAGCCATGACATCACTGCAGGTACTTGTGAATGTGTGGCCTCTATTTGTACATACCCACGAGCACCTCTGCTGCAGGGTGTCCAGGAAAGGTAGGAGCATTTTTCAGGAACAACAGCCTTTATTCAAATGCAAAGGGATCAGTGACACCAGAGGGCCAGGTTTCTGAAACTGTCCCTCTTCATCTATTTCTCCTGTGGTCACCCCTGTTTGAAGCCAAGAGCAACGTGAAGCTGCATCGTTGGCCTCCAGGAGCAGGTGCATTGGCAGCAGATCTGAGGTATCTGACAACGGTGTGGTTGTGGGGCTCACAGGCTTACAGCATCCTCTACCTGTTCCCGGCGTGCTTGCTCTCTGCATCAAAGGCAGCATCCCACCACAGTAATAAGTTACACGGGACGTTGTGTAGAGCAGACCATGAACCTCAGGGATCACGCGGTGGGAGAAGCAGCCTGTCTCTTACCTGCCACTGAGGACCTCTGTGTCCAGAGCATTCATCAGCCCAGCCATGGTGGGAAATGGTACAAAACTGCCCAAGTTCCTATCCCTGTCTGCCTGTGCCTCCCAGGAATGCTTTGTGGCCCAGATCTGAGTCCAAGGCTTGAGGGGACCCTAAGGGATGGCTACTGGAATCTGGGTTTAGACACAGTTATCGGGGGCACACTCAGCCTCTTCTTCAAGCTCGGGGCAGGGGGTCCCATTGTTAGCAGGCTGAACACGGACATAACGAGTTCTGCTCTTGGCTCCCAACTTTCCACACGGTCCTCCACACAGTCCCCAGGATGACCACAGGGAAACCTCGCAGTCCAGCGGTGTCTCTGGAACTGGACAAAGCACAGGGGAGACCCAGTGAGTACTCTGTAAGGAGACACTTGGAAAAAGCAGAAGTGATCATCCCCACATGTGCACCCAGCCCAGGAGACAACTCTGCTCCAAAGTCTGAAAGAAAGGCTTTTCTCAGGAGCGTAGAGCAAGATGCATGATGGGTGTCACTGATACAGACTCAAACAAGAACCAAATGACTGGCTGGAGTTGTTCCTTCCTAGACATGAACTTCAGGAAACCTTGGGTAACTGCGGCAGCCTGAGTCCTAGGATCCCCCCAGCCATGGAAGAGGCATACAACAGTGAGGACCTCTCTGAGGGGAGGTGGCTCTCCAGCCACAGTGACCTTCATAACTGACATTTCTGAAGTCCTGAAAATGCCAGAAAATCCTTACCTCCCCACCCCCTCCAGGAGGTTCAAACCAATTCAACAGTGTTCCTTTTTATTATGTCTCCTCTGCTTCTACCATAGTCACAAATTTACAAATAATTCATTTGGAGCTATGGCGAAATAACCTGGTAATTTCCATTTCCTTGAGCAAAATGCAAATGTCCCTATATCCAGGACATGCTAAACTAGCCAGCCAGCCCCCAGAGGACAATCACCAACAGGAACCCAAGAGCCCAGCCACCGCCACTGGAGTCACAAGAGGACAGTGTGGCGCTGGCAGCAGCAGCCAGGCTAGCAGCGCCCAGGGCAGGACCCCGTTTTGTATGAGTCCTTGTGCTGCTGCAATCAGTGTGTGGGACTCCCAGAAACAAGTCAGATGCTGGAAGAATTCAGAAAGGAACATAAGGAGGTTGGGGATGTCAGATACAGTGTCTGGAATATTCTAGTAGATGCAGTAGGCCACTCCTGAAACAGCCCTCTCCATAGAAGAAAGGGTGCAACAGGGCCTACAAAGACCCTTTGGAATGACAAACAGACCCAATTTCCTCCCAGAACCTTGCCTGAGAGGGAGCGCTCACTCTCAGGCTGCCAGCCTGGATGAGGTACCTGAGCCCTCATCTTCCAGATGGGGCTGGAAGCCTGAGTCTTTCCCAACTTCCTGACAGTGAAGCAGCAGCTGAGGCTCAGCTTGACTGAAGGCTTGCAGCAGCCCTGGTCTGCAGAGAGAGCCTCCCAAATGGGGCTCTTGGACCCTGCAGATCCCTGTGAGGAGCAGACCTAGGATGACCCGTGTGTGATCAAAAGTGAAGCATGTGCAGGCTTGTGCCTGGTGGGAGCTTCCTGGACACACTCACCCCGGGCAAGGTCTGGCGTCTGCTGCTGGGAAGCCAAAAGTAGCAAGAGAAACTCATGTGGGCCATGCCAGGTATTCCGCCCCTACTCCACTGACAGACTGGCAGTCTTGAAGACATGAGGGAATTAGGTAGAACATGTCAGGTGGCCAGACGTGAGAAGCCTCAGCTACAGGCAATGGCTTTTCGGGACAGGGAACACCTTGGGACAATGTACCATGTGCTGCTTGGATACACGGGGTGGGGAAGTGCTCAGCTGGCTCCTGTGCCATCCAGTGGTAACTATGGGTAGAATTCCCTAAAGTTCCCCGTCACCGGAGATGGTGGTCCCCAGCCAGAGCAGAGGGCTGCATCCACTCCCACCCTTTCCTCTCCAACCGCTGTCCTTGCCTGTCCTTCTTTTGCAGTGTCCCCTGAACTCCCAGCATGCTACCATCCCACACCTGATTAGGTGGCTAAGTGCCCCAATGGTGAGGCGAAAGGACCTCTCCAGTGGCCTGCCGGCAACTGGCTCTTCCCACAAGACTGTACCATGTCTGCCCAGGTGATGCCACTGTCCAGTGTTCACAGGACTGTCCATCAAGATTGGGGGTGGGAGATACACACCTCAAGTGCCTGTGCTACACAGCCCATCAACAAGCTCACCCTCCTGCCAGACCTTGGCCTGGCCAATGCATCGGGGCAGAGACTGTCCTAAGTGGCCAGAAAAATGAGTTGGCTGCTGAGCCTCCTTCAGTTCCTGCCAAAGGTAGAAATGGCTCTGAAGCCTGGCAGGTCTTGGCTGACTCCAGCTCCTTAAGAAAATAAGTTATAGCTTTCTGAAGGGGTTCTTGCCCATCCTGGGGCCTGCCAACAGATGAGAGGGCTGGGGAAGCACAGCCTCAAATGGCCCAGTCATTCTCTGTGCAAGCGGCTGCTGGGCATCTGACTGGCTGGAGGCTGCTGTGCAGTGAGGGAACTATGATTCTCATCCTCAAAGCACAGCTCTCTCCGCTCCAGCTGATACTCCCGAGGGATGAATGCCCAAGATACCTATTAGCAGACTCTCAAATTGTTCATGGAAAGATAAGAACTCTAGACTGGCCCTGGTGAATTGGGAACTCTGCACTGGCCACAGCCAGACAGGGCTCAAGCCCCCATGGGAGTGTCCTGCTTCCTCAAATACCCTCTGCTGTCTTGGCCAGTGGAGGCACAGCTGAAACCTAACTCAGTGGATTTCCACTTCCGTCTCCATCAGCTATGACATGCAGGTCACTGGGTGCATTTCTGTTGCATACTGCCTCCTAACTATATCTGGGGTCTTTTTCCGTTGTTCAGGGTGTTTCAACAGTAGATATTGTCAAAGTTTTATCTACAGTATTTGAATCCACCAAATCCTAAACCTTTAAAAATTAATACCATCTCCTAAAGAGCAACAAGAATTCCCCTTTGAAATTTCTCAGGCTCAAGTTTCCTGTGACCTTGGAGACCCGGGAGAGTCTGTAGACTCAAGAGACTGTGCTAAAGGTAAGGGCTAACCTGGGACAAAAGGAACCCACGTGTTGTGCCTTGTACTGGGCTTTAGGACCTCGTATGACCTTGGATGACATATACCCCACAGGTTCCAGGGCACATACTCACTGTGGCTTCTCTCCCTGATTTAGCCAGCGGTGACATGGAATAGTGACATGAAAAAGGACACTTTCCCAGCCTGTCCATCTGGGTGGGGTTAGCAGAAGATGGGAAACATGGAAATTACCTGAGAGGCTGTCGACAATTTCATTGCCCCTGCTGGCCAGGTCCAGGGAAGGTGGGACAAAGGCCCTGGGACTCTGCCGTAGTCGCACGAAGGTCACTTTGGCAATGGGAGGCAAGGACTTCAGGCGCGGGTAGTAGAATGAGTTTGCCGGGTGACTGGGCGATGAGGATGTTATCTGGATGATGGAAGAGGAGAGCTGGCAGGGGGGTCTGGGAAGCCGGCTTTCCAGTGTGTGCTTGGCCTCCTGAGTCCGTACCCAGCATCAAGCAGGACAGTGCCAGCAAAGACTCCCAACTTGGGTCTCATCTGAGTGGCTCTCAAGCCCAGCGTAGCTGGAGGTGCCCACAGGACCTCTCCCCAAGACTGAGGAAGACCAGCCACTCCTTCTGTCTCCCAGAGGCAATGCTGCAGACATTTGTCAGCTGAGACATTTGTCTCTCGAGCTCCTCTTATACACCAGGCAGGACTACATATGCCTCCTCGCTGGAAAGGAAGAACTTTCCAGGCCCCCATATCTTTCTCTTCTCTCTACAGTCCTTCCAGATCCCAGGCAGAACAGCATTCCACTCTTAACCGGCAGGCACCAGAGACAGGATTACTCTCTAAGGAGGGGCCAAAGCCTGGGGTACCCAGAGGTCCACCTGGGGCAAACCAGAGTCCTTGCCCTGTCCTCACAACCAGGCCAGCCACCCTCTTTGTCCCACCGAGTCCAGAGCTGCCTGCGTGCAGTGGGGGGCGACTGTGCAGCCTATGAAGTAGGGGAAGGGCTGTGAACTACTCACCTCAGTCACGGTGTCCTGTGGGATGGTGGCAAAGTTGGGGGAGGAGAAGGTGAAGCCGCTGTCTGTCCCTGCATCATGAGGGTAAAGATCGAGGACCACCTGCTCCTTCCAGCGGCCTCCCTCACACAGGTCCAGACTGTCAATGCCCACAAACCAGTCAGGGCTAGGGACGATGCGCACCACGAAGGACACCTGGATGGGACCAGAAGGCTCAGCAGCTGCAGCCTCAGGACATGCCCTCTCCTCGGCTAGCCGTGACTTACCAGCGAGTGTCTAGGGTGCACCTCCAGCTCTGCAGAAGTCTGCCCGGTCCCGCTGGGGACAGCAGGAGCTGAGAATACTGTATGTACACTCTGGAGTTTCTCTCCCGCAGCTTCGATCTCTTTCATCAGCGCCCAGGCCTCACCGCGCTCAGCGAAGTCCCTCAGCCCATTGCTGACATACTCGTTCTTTCTCCACATGCTGTAGTCAGAGCTGTGAGCTGCCCCTGTGCAAAGGCCTGACTGCATGAGTAGCCAGCTGGGATGGGTAGCAGGGGGGGCTATCGGCTTCAATCTCATGTGGCTGTCCCCAGTGCATACCGTGTCCCCCCCCCCCCACCCCAAATATCAGCTCCCTTGCTGAATGGTCAGGAGCCGCACCCACTCCTAACACAGAGAGACAGTAATATCCTTTATACTTATGTTGTTAGGACACACCTGGCTGAGTGATTGGTGTCCCACCAGCCTTCCTGTGACCACTGTGCCCTCCACCAGCCATTAGTACAGTGGGTATTTAGCAATGCCTTTTGTGTTGGAAGTTTCTTAGTTGAGAATGACCCGTGCTGTGTGCTGTGAAACCAGCAGGTACTGCCCTGTAGCCTCCCGGATGCGACAGAGGAGGTAAGATGCCCTTACCCAGCAGGGAGGACCACTGTGCTGGGGGCCGGAACAGAGGATACTGCTTGGGGAATGCCGTCTGGCTCCACTTGCCAGTGAAAGTGATGCTGTATCTAGCCAGGGGCCGGGCGGTACAGATGGATTCTCCCCCCAGCGGCTGGCCTGTGGTGGAGCCTAGCATGGCCAGGAGGAAAGCCCAAAGAGCTCTGTCCAGGGAAAAACTCACGTTTTCCATCACCTACAGTAGAGGGAGAGAAATGTTGGCACCTTTAGTCCCAGGAAGGCCCCTGCCCATCCAGCCCCAGAAGAGAAAAGAATGAACTCCCAGATTGGTGAGAGCCTGCAAACGCATTCCTGGGTCCCCAAAATGTTCCTTCGAGAGTTTCCCAGATTCCATCCAGGGAAGAGAAGGGCACCAGGTCACGGGGTACGTGGTTAGTTTCACTGCCCGTCTACAAGAACCTCCGCATAACTTGCAGACTTACAGTCCCCAGAATCACAGCCCAAGGCACAGAAAGAACCTCGGCAGACTTACAGCTCTGTCTGCTGAGTGCAGCGTGCAGGAGCCGCACACCTCCTGACTGCCCCACACTTCATGTACTAGCTGTGCACATGACTAGATCAGCAAAGCTCAGGTCATGGCCAGCCCCCGGGGTAATCTCCGGGGTGTTACAAACTCCTGATCCAGGAGCGCCAGGCCCTCTTTCAATGTGAACACCACACTCACCTGGTAGGAGCAGCCAGGGCAGGCTGCTGGGCTGGCCGCTGTAGGACTGGTCCCAGAGCCCAAAGATCCTATGTGTGCCCAAGGTTAGTGCCTCTGGCCGACAGAGAGGTCCCAGCTCCTCCTGTCTTCTGCCTCAGTGCCGGGGGTCCAGAAAGTGGCAGAGGGCACCTGAGACAAGGAAGCAAGAAGCTTTTCTGCTGGAGTGCTGCAGGGCTGTTCTCAAGCGTCCCAGAGTTCTGACTGCAGTGACCTGCTCCAGGCTGAGCTCACTCTCCGCCCCCTCCGGCTAGCTGCTGCCCTGCCCTTTCTTTGTCTTCCTCTCTCTCTCCGCCCCCTCCCTCCTCTAACAAGCCTCTTCTGGGTGGTGGTTGCAAGGAGCTCTGTGTTCAAGGACAGGGGTCTGGGGCCAGAGACCACACTGGCGCCTGTCTGAACTTTGCCACAGATGTTCCCAGAATGTGGCCCACACTTTCCACTTGACAAGTGTGTGTGTGTTGGGGGTGAGGTGCTCGGGAGCCCCAGGTCTACCAGCTCAGTTGTAGTAGGCTCTAGAGCTCTGGGTTTGAGGAAGCTAGTCACTTCTTTCTCATCAGGGTCTGGGCTACACAGCAGTAAAGGCCCACACTGCCAGCCAAAGGAAATCTGAACGGCTCAGGTTGTCAAGGCTCCTCTTCGGTGTGCTTCTTCCTGGCCTCCAGGCCACTGTCCCTGCTTTGGATGGGGTAGAAGATTCCGGAGTTTACTGTAGCTCAGTGTCAGGAAAAGACTTTCAAAACTACTGTGGAGCCTAGGAACTAAGCAGAGGGGAGAGTGGAGACATCTTACTCAGCCTCTGCCGGGTCCCCCACACACACCAAAATATCCAGAGAGCTGATCCAAAACACATTCTGGGTTTTGGAACAAGTTAATGTCCCACTGTCAGACAGACAGTGAGGGAGAATAAATAGAATCCACGAGGCTAGAATGCAAACAGAGCAGATGACTTCACCCTCATTTCAAACAAATAACGCCGCCACAGAGCGCTAACTGTGAACGCAGCATTTAGGCCCCAGGCCTAGAGGCCAAAGACAAACCACTCCGGCACTGCTCAAGCTGTTGGTGGTTGGCACTGGTTACCAGGCTTGAAAGTCATCAAGTCACCTAAGACTTCTGTCTGTGTGGGTTCTAGCTCTCCACACTTATCAAGTCACAGCAAGTGCAAAGAAAACATAACTCACTTAAAATAGCAAAGCTATTCTGTGTTAACAGAAATTGCACAGTGTCTTAAGCTGAGCACATGCATTTCACAAATGGATTAGAAATGTGGCATGGCTCGTCAGCAGTACAAATTCCTGAGAGAAGATGGCTAGACCACTGTATCTACCACGGCTCAATGGATGAGAATGCCGAGTGAAACCATGAAGACAGCCCAGCCTGAGTGGACATTAGGACAAGGACTTTCTTCCCCTTTTCAGATAAAGGTGCCCTAAGGCAGCTTGGAAAATCCCACAGTCTCTTGACAGAGGACAGGCAGAGACAGACAGATGCTCTTCTGAGATGAACTTGACCTTATGGACCCTGAAGGATCTTTACCACTCCACACAAACACTGACCTTTGATTCAGAGGCCTCCTTTCCCTTAACCTGCCTTGTGTTCTGTAACTAGCTATGGACCATGCTTGTCACAGGATCCAAGTTTCTCACTTCTGACGGGAGTTCCAGGGGAGAGAGGGCCAGGACATCACAGGGTTCCTGGAGGGGGACTATGGGGGCCAGGACGTCACAGTGTTGCTGGAGGGGGACTGTGGGGGCCAGGACGTCACAGTGTCACTGGAGGGGGCCTTCAGAGGCCAGCGCTGCTTGTGTTTTTTAAGCAGGTAGATGGAGCATGCACATGAAGCTAAACCTACCCCATTCCCCTGTGTGCGGAACCCTTAGGAGCAGCTACAGGGCTGTCCCTAGAACTAGCCAGGCCAGTTCCACTAACAGGAGCTTAGGCTCCTAGGAAGAGGATTGGAAATGACGCCTGCCCAGCCAGGAGTCACTGTGGGCAACTTGAGTCCGGCTCCTGCCCCAAGCCCAGCTGGAGGCCCTAAGGCTCACTCCATTCCATAGGACAAGACAGTAGTGAACAACCCAGTCCAGGGCAGCAAGAGGCTCTTTTCCCAGTCTCCAGTCCACGAAGTCTGCGTGACTTGGGGATCTACTGGTTTGTGCAATGAGAATGGGTCAAAGTCAGTCACTTCCAAGCAGAGTTGTAGCTGACAAGCCAGGGCTGCCCCAGAAGGGCTCGGCAGGAGGACAGCCAGGCAAGAACTCCCTTTAGTGGTAGTAGTATCCCCTTGGGGAGGAAAAATGCCTCAGAAGTTTCATGGACATGATGGGACATGGGAAGGGTTCTGCCACAGCAGAACAACGGCTCTTTCAGAGCCTACCTCCACCCCTCCCTAGGTGTGGCACAGGCCCCTAGGCCTGACCTGGGCAGAGACATGCTCCCGAGCCACATCTGCTGACTCAAGCTTGGGATCCCCACCCACGGGATGGCTGTCTCCTGCAATGCACACAGGCTTCAGGCATGTCTGGCTGCCAGGTGCCCCGGCTGTGAATTCTTCACCCTCAGATACCACACATGCCAGTCCCCCCCAAACTCACTTGTCTGCTCACCGGCTCCAGCCAGGGCCATGATCTGTACTCTGTATACAGATGCTTTCTAGAAGCTGCCTCCATCCTTGGGCACCAATGGGGCCACCAGACTGACTCGTGAGCTCCCCCTCTCTTTCCTGCTGGGCACTGAGCAGTCCCAGCACTGGGTCTTTGCTTGAAGTCTCTCTACCTAAAGAGAGCTCCCCCAATCTGGCTTCATGTCCTTCGGGTCTCAGGGAAAGGCCTGCAGCCAGCCCAGCCCAGAGGAGAATCTGCTCATTCCCACTAGCCTCTTAGACCACTTGAGGGCTTTTCTTTCCATCTCCTGCAGAGGGGGACATCCATCCCAGCCTTGTAAGCAGCCTGAGTTTTGCTGCAGGATGTTAAGTGCTCACAGAGGCAGTAGCAGGCTGAAGGCAGACTCTGGATTAGGCTTCTGGGCACAACTTCTAGAGCTATGCAGGCCGCTGGCCTGCAAAGTTAGCTACTGGCCCAACCAGCCCAGGGACAAGTCCCACGGGGCAATGCTGCCCAACTGCCTCCCTCCCTCCATGCTTCCCGCTCCCCTTTCCTGTCTCCCATGCCACTATTCTAGGTCGGATTTCAAATAGCACCTCTGACTCAGGGCCTGAACTATATCCAGTAGCCAAGTCCTGCATTCAGCCTTGTGGCCTTTGCTTTCTTGGAAAACACCTAAGAAGAGAGTGGGAACGAGAAACCCTAACACCCATAGCCCCCATCCCGATCTGCTCGCCTCAGTCTCTGAGCTAATGCAAGCGGGGCCACGTCCAGCTGCTTCCGGTCTGTGAGTGTGAGCACTGCAGCTGTACAACCCAGGAAGGAGCATTGAACACATGCCCTCCCAAATCAACAGAGCAACTCTTCCCCTCCTAGTGGCCTGAGTTCCATCCCTAGACCCGTGTAAAGGTGAAAGGAGAAAACCATTCCAGAAAATTCTCCTTGTGAGATCCCCATGGTAGAAAATAAAATAAAATAAATGTTGGTCTGGCCATCTCTAGTAGCATTTGCCACAGTGTCTCTTCATATCTAACATAAGATGCCAGGACCTCAGCATTTTAAAGAGCGGGGGTTGGGGGCAGAGTAAGAGTGCCTGAAATTCCCTCCATCAGAGCAACAAGAAAACTGACAGAAATGTCTGGACAGAGCCAGCACTTGGTATGTAAACTGATGACATGACTGTTCCGTGGTATGGTTAAGTGGAAGGTTTTTGTTGTAGACACAAGAGAGAGAACAGCCGGAGGCATCTGGAAGGGTTCAGAGCAGAAAGAGAAAGAAGTAGAATGAGCACGGCCAGCCGAATGGACATGGCCAGGGCTGTCTGTGAGAGAAGGGAGAATAACAGGGGATAGAGAACAGAGAAAATATAGTGAGAGAAGCAGGAAGGGAGAGGGAGAGGGAGAGGGAGGGACAGAGAGAGAGAGACAGAGGGGGGGGAGCATAGTGAGAATAGCAGGGTTATATGGAGGAGGAGGAGGAGGAGGAGTTGGGGTACTGAAGCCCATGAGCTAGATGGAGTTTAGGGTGGGGAAGGAGGTGAGGAGGACAGAATGCTAGCCTGGGCTTTGAAATGTGTAACAGGTACTTGTGACACTGAGGGAGCCTAGAGGCTAGCATGGGCTTTGATATGCTGATAGGCACCACAGGTAGCCAAATGTTCCTTCTGCCAGAGGTAAGGGAAATGACTCTTTTGGTAGAAGAGAACCAGATTTACAAACTCCTGAGGAATGCTGCCTTTAATCTAGCTCCAGAAATCTTCCTATAGTCCAGGTTGAATTCATTTCTAGATATTTGGACTGCCTTTTGGAGTTTGGAGAATTGCGTTTCCTTTGGACCTGTCACTGAGGAGGCCAAGGCAAGTGGATCTCTGTGAGTGGAAGCTCAGCCTGGTCCACATAGCAAGCTCCAGGCTGGCCAGGACTGCATAGTGAGATTCTATTTCATAAAATTAAAAAAAAAAAAAAAAGGAAGAAATGTCTGGGCATGGTTTCTGGTACTCTGGAAACTAACCAAAGGCTTGCAACAGTAAATGTGAAGCTATTTTGCCAAGAAAACAGGGAAAACAGTAAATGTTTAATTGCCTCAGACCCAAACTTTCTCTCCATTAATAGTGAACCTATAGTCTCGAAGCCTCTGCATTGGATAACATGGGACAAGGAACTGGAGCCTTCTCACAACCTCATTTCCAGAAAGTTTTCTCTATCTCCCCTCTCTGGTACCTCCCTGGAGGATCCCTCTTGGAAAGCTCTTTATTTGACCTGATTCTGAACCTTTCCCCAGAGGCGAGCGTTGAAAACGACAGGTAATGGTGAAGGCGGCTGCTCAAGGGCAGGTTCAAAGTCGAGGCCAAAAAACCTAGAATGAAAAGCTCAGAGGCAGGAGGTGCACAGGAAACTTAGAGAACTTCCAACATATCCCGAGAACCTAGAAGGTCACACATTCCAAGGAACCAGGAAAGTCCAGTGCTCAGGAAAGGCCTGATGAGGCCACTGAGCACTCTCCTCTGACTGACCTTGAGACTCTTCACAAGCAGGAAGTGAGGACTAGCACCCTTATTAAGTGCCTGGTTAAGTGTGCCGAGCATGTCCCAATACACAGAGTCCCACAACTGGGAGATTAACTGATTCCAGACATCTTCAGTCCAGTAATTAACTGACCACCACGTTAGCCAAGGAAAGACTTTACTGCCATGCATGACAAAGAACAGAAATATTTCAAACTCAAGTCAGAGAGTCACTAAAGAAACCTCAACAAACAGAAACCCCTGAAGAGGGGAAGGATCTAATTTCCAGAGTTGTCAAATTATACTCTCCAAACTGTTCGGGTTCCAACACAAATGTACAAAACATACAAAAACAGAAGGAAGCCCAGGCCATACACAGGGAGTAAGAAAGCAGCTACACAAGCTTCCTGAGGAAGCCCAGGCCTTGGGTACCCTAGATAAAGACTTTAACAGTTGTTAGTATGCTCAGAGATCTAAGAGCAGGCATGGTGGCTCACACCTCCAGTCCCAGCACTTGGGAGGCAAGAGCAGGATTGCCACAGATTCCAAGCTGGGCTTTTCTACTTAACAAGCTACAGGTCCACCTGAACTATGTAGAAAGGTCCCACCACAAACTGCCTCCATCCCACAGAGGAAGCCATGTCTGATAAAGTGTGAAAGTGATGCTTCACCAAGGAATGATGTCAGCAAATGGTAGAAATTATAAAACCACGGAAATCTTGAAGTTGCAAAGTATGAAAACTGAATCAAAAAGTTCACTACAGGAACTCAGCAGGAGATCTGAGGAGATGGAATAAAAAGTCCATAAAAGGAGTTGAGATTATCCAGTCTGGGAAAGAAAACAGGGTAGCAAAAACCAAACAAACACTAGAGACTTTCAGGGACCATCAAATACAAACAACTGCATAACTGAAGTCCCAAGGGGAGAAGAGGAGATGCAGAGTGTCGATATAAAAGTTACAGCTCTCATCTTAAAGGGAAGAACAAATGGTTTATCTGGAGCCATTTTGAGTGACCATGGCCCAGGAACACAGATTTAGGTTACCCCAAATTCCACAGTCCAGTGTGGAAGTAGTTTCACAGAATTTTTATAGTTTTACAGAACAAAGACAGTCATAAATCAAGGCAACTTTAAAAGACATTGGTGGGTGCACCAGAGGGATGGGTCCAAAGAGATGGGGAGGCTATATTACAGGCCCAAGATGGCATCAGATGACGCTCTTAGTTCTCCGATTGGTGGAAGCTAGTGCTGTGCTAAGGAAAACCTCAAGAGGTTTTATTTATTATTACAAGATGTTAATTCTAAGTTAATAGCTTCTAAGAGGTTTTTATTTATTATCAGGAAGTGTTAGTTCAGACAGAGTGGGGCAAGGAATGACTGTCCAGAAGGTTAAAACTAGCCCAAGATAAAGTAATTATACTCTGAGCCTACCAAATCCCAGTCTCTCCACAGTACTGAATTTCCAGTTAGCCCATCAGTCTCTGAAGACACAGGAAGCTGTTTCCAACTTGGAAAAATGCTGGAGAATCTGGGTGGTTGGAACTGTGAAGTCTATTGAAGGTATGCAACTTCCAGGGAGGCTCAAAAGTGAAATGCAGTGGCTTTCCATATTAGCAGCTGCTTGTTCCCCTGCACCAAGCAGGTATGAATGTATTCCTGGTAAGTAGCCACAAAGGACTCTGTCTTCCAGATTGTCTGTAACCTGTATTCAAATGTCTCACCAAGGCTGTGATCACAGAAGTTCACAGAGACGGATGGTCATTGTTGTGTCTCTAATTGCTGCAAACCCCTGTGATGAGTTGAATGTAAAATTCCTTCCATAAGCTCTTGTGTTTGGACACTTGGGTGGTGCTGTTTAGGGAGGTTGTGGAATATTTAGGGTTTGGGACTTCACTGCAGAGGTGGGTTACTACGGGAACGTCTTGAAGGTTATGGTCTGGGGTTCTCTTGTCACTTGTAAGATGCCTCTACCACAAGCTTCTACCATCACAGGGCATCTCTGCCATGCATTCCCCACCATGGGGAACCGCTAGGCCCTGTGAGTCCTTATCTGTGATGGGCATTTTAGTCACAGCAGCGTGAAGTAGCTACTACACCCCACCATTCCAGCTGGTAACTTCGAAGGGCTTTAAAGGATTGAGGCCTTCTTCTCCCCACCCCCATTCATCATCCTCTTTTGGAATCCCAGACATCAAAGATTAAATTAGTGGGGAACTGTACATGTGGGGAAAGTTAAAAAGGGATACCATGCACACCGGGAAAGGTGCAGGCCTGAAAAGACCTGAGCAGACAAGTTTGCATGTCAAGCTGGTCCTTGGCCCAGAAATGACCTAGGATAAATGAACGAGAGCAAACCAATAAACGGCAAACCTCTGGGAGAAGCTGATTATCACAGTGTCATGGCATTATCAGACACAAACTCCCAATTTTAACCAAAAAATCACAGTACCCACAAAGAAACAGGAAAGTATTGTACATTTCAGGGGGAAAGTAAGTAGAAACTGTCGATAAAAAAGACCTGAAGATAAACTGTCTATACAAAAACTCTGCAACTGTCCTGAGATGGTCAGAGAACTGAAGTGAGATACAGAGAAAGCCGGTCACATGATGGAAAAATGAAATGGCAATGCACCCCTGTGCAGCAGTTCACTAAATATATGTGAGAAAACAATACAGATGAAAAAGATTAAGCTTAACCTAGGGGTGGACAATCATCACCCCAGAGTATATGATACAAAACATTCTGGGGGTAGAGATTCATTGCTCAGCCTGGGGTCTTTGCACAAGCCATACGCCCATAGAAAGGTACAATCCACAGTGCTGTCCCGGGTCCTATCAGAACTGGGTTTCCAGCTGCAGTGACAGGCATAACCAGCTAAAGCAGAGTCATTGGGCCTGAGCCAATCTGGGCAACTCAAGCCAGCCTTTCCAAGACCATCAGGGTAGGAAAATGCATAATAGACCCTCAGCAGCTGCAGTACCCAGGGATGAGGAGGCTGAACGGCACATGTGAAATGTCTGTGGATTATGGAGGGACAGAAGTGTCCCCAACCCATGCCACCATACCCAATGTTGCTCTTTTGACAAAAGAATTGATAGAAGTTATGAGATCTTCTCATGTTGTGTTGGTTGTTATTAACATCCCCTTTTAAATATCCCCTTAAGCTGCTCAAGACCATATGGCACTTATTTGGAATGGATAGCCCTTTAGAGATCCTGCCTCCCTTATAAAATGGTTTATTACATCATGTTAATCCTTGACTATCTTACAGATTGGTAAGAACATCTGGAAGAATAGTAAATAGTAACGAAGACATTTAAACAAAAGCATCTTGCATAAACAGAAAAGGACAATCCTAAGAGTCATACGGTTGTTCGGTAAAAATTTCAGTAGCAGATATCAGTTACCCCCCCATGAACTGTTGGTCAGGGGTGCCCCAGAAGCCCCACAAACCATAAGGGCTATTGCTGTTGCCATTGGTGTTCACCAGAACTAGATGATAAGACCCTGGTGCTGAAGACACATAATTTCACTGCAGGATACAGAGGAATAAATCTGAGGCTAAACAGGAAGCTCCCTCCTCACCGGCTAACTTTCATAGTGCCGGACAGTGCTGTGAAGGCGGCCGGAGAGAATCCTCTCAACTATCCTCATCAGCCATGAACCTTGTAAAATATGATACCAACACGTCCAGCGTATGTGCCCACTGGTACAACAGCGGCACTACTGTTGTGACTACAACCAACGGCTTTCCCATTGCATTTAAGGTCAGCTCCCCATGGAGGAACTCACAACGTATACTGTAGGCCAGGGCAAAGGCCTGTAGCTGACAAGTCCATAGG